CCTTAGAAAATGAATTACCAGTCTGCAAATCAAGATGACATATTTCGCAGCTATAAAACTAAAACTACTTTCAGACCACTTAGATTAAAAAAAAAAAAAAAAAGAAAAGAGAGAGAAAAACAAAAAGACAGCAACTTTGTGGTTGTGTTACTGTCAATAGTCTTGGATGGCTGTGGCTCCATTTTAGCAGTTTGACCTTGTTTAGATCAACGTGAATCCATCGACAGCCCTCCCTGACAATTCCCCCACCCCATCCCAGAAAGTGCACACCCTGCACCAGCGTATCCAGCTGGAGATGTGCCAATAGAAGTAATTACGTGATGAAACTATTTAACTTTGACTAAAATACTCTCACCAGGTTCTTTCAAACCGTGTGTCTTATATCTTGTGGAGGCAATTTTATATCGTGCCTTTAAAGTACAGTAATGGCCACTTGCATTGACAGAATCCTCGTAAAAGGAGAAGCCCGAGCCCTTGCTCATGAAGTGCTATTGATTTTCCCAGTTCCTGCTCGAGTTGCCAAAGATACAACACCGTTGTTAGGGAGAGGAGGCACTTTGGCCTTCAATATCACAGGAGGGTTCCAGTGTAAGCACGGGCGTCGGTGGGTTTCGGTGATAAATAATGCAGCGGGGTGATAACTGCCCATATTATTGTGTCACTTTGACATGACTCAGCACTTGCTCCAGCCCAGCATTTCTTTAATGCCCCCACTGGCTGCTGAACTTCAAGCCAGGTGTAAGAGCTGGTTATATTTTAAAGGTCCACTTGCACTGTGGTGAAAAGCTGAAGTTTGTTCATCTTTGGCAGTGATGGCTTTTGAGCAATAGGAAAACTCCCCCAGCGTTTCTCGCTGCATCATTCCCAAAGGAATGAGAGTTAAATACCCTGCACATTTTTCCAGTGCTCCTTGGTGGTGGAATCTCTGCCACACACCTTCTCTGGTGTCCTTAGCAGTACATCAGAACTACCAGTTGTACTCTCACACCAGCTGGCAAGATGCCTTTGCAGAGCTTGGTCCTAATGCTGCAAATCCTACTGGGATCCTCTAAAAGCAGAAACTTCTCCTTGTGGGAATTACAATTAAATCTCAACGGATTGTGCTTTTGTGACTGTCGCATTATTGTAGCCAATAGATAATTATTATTTATCAGTAGGGGGGGAAAAAAAGGACTGGGTAGGAAAATTAGAGCTATGATAATTAGGTTTTTGATGACATCAACCAATTAATATAATTTTATGTTTTCCATTTTGAAATTTAGGCAAGGTCTCCTTTGTTTTCATTTCTATTCCAATGTTTGAGTCAGTTGAGTCCTTCAGAGAGGGTTGATTTGGGTGCTGTGGAAGGTGCCACCACAACCAGGCAGCCGGGGGATGATGCTGAAAAGAAATTGCACTCCATTTCCCTCCCTCTTCCCCAAATATATCCTTGTTCTGAATGACATGAGTCAGCTTTGGAGCCCTGATGCCCCCTTTGTTTGCACCCTGATGAACTGAGGGGGAGGAAAAAAAAACCAAACAACAAAAGCCCTGAGAAGGGATTATACTGGAAGAAACTTTGCTCACTTGTACTCCTGACTACACAGGCATCTCTCCTTAGTGGAGCTTGGATCATGGGAAGGGGGAAGAGCTGATCTCTTCCCATCTCGTCTCCAGGGCTGCATTTTGGCTTACTCCCAAGGGAAGGATTAATGTCGTGGCCACCAGATGTCCAGGGAGGCAAAATGGGCTTTTTAGAACTGTGTTCTTTGGGTTCGGACATTTTATTCCAGATTTGAAGTAAAAAAAAAATTGTCTTATCTGACCTAAGACCACCCTGAAATGTAAATGCTGTAAAGGAACAGCTTTATTGGGGATCCATCTCCCTCAGTGTCCTGTTTCCAGTGGTCACAGTCGAGGGAAAGAAATTAGTGTGGAGCAAACGTATCATGGTCCTTCCCCAAACTACCCCCTCGGCCTCCAGAAACCTGCCAGAGGACAGTGACCTTAGTGACTCAATTCATAGCCATGCCTCTGTTTTCCTTCCATTACTGTCTCCAGTTTCTATTTTAACCATTGAAGCATTGGCATTCCCACAGTTCTGCAAGGAGTTGATGTGCAGCTTGTTCACACGCTGTGGGAACCAGCTCCTTTTGGGTTTGGATTTTCTTTTTTTTTTTTTGATCAAACAGTTGCAAATTTCATCTGATGCCTCCTGGATCTTTTTAAAAAGGAAGGAAGCAGCTGTTTCCTTCGTGCTTTGATGCTGCCTCCATGCCACTCATAGTTTTACAAACCTGCTCTGCATCCCACAGCAATCAGGCCGTTCCCAGGCTGGAGGGCCACAGCCAAGGAAATAGGGCAGAGAGAGACCTGGAGCTTTGTCCATGCAAACAGAACCTCTTCCAGGATGAATTAGTTTACAAAAAGGTTCTGAAAGATCTCAAAAGACCTTTTTCATCACTTAATGAACTAGAAGAGCATCATTTCCTCCAGTCTTAAACCCACACTATGCTTTCCTGCAACAGGTCTGTTTTCTTCTCTGAGAGGACACACACTCTTAAAAAGTTAACACTGAGGTAGTGGCAGTAGATTGCACATAACAGAGGGATGGTGAGGAAAACTAGATTTGTCTTGTCAGTTGTGATTTTAATATTCCTGTTCTTGTCTCAGAAGATTTCTTGTTTCTTCTTATTTTCCATATTTAAAGAGCATAAGGCAGCAGTGCTCTCTATTGGCATTGCCTTTTGCCAACCATCTTTGAAAAGCAAAACTATAACCAGATTTACTTTTGACAGCAAAGAATATTTTGGCCCATTTTACTGCCTGCAGAATGCCTGGAAAGCTTTAAATTAATGGCAATGAATGAAGAGAAAAGGAAATCAAAGAGCCATTTATTCCCTTAGAAAGAGACCTATTTTCCCTCACATTTCTATATTTTCTACCTGCTTTGGCTGAGAAAACATTTAAAAATGTTACAAGCACCAAGAATTTCCCTATCCTTTTACAGTGTGCATCTGAACACAATTACCTGGACGTTTCTTTTCACTGTTCCACGTATGCTAAAACTTTGTTTCAGTAATTAAACTTGCGGTACAATCTTGGGTCATATTATGCTATATTATCCTTTTAACTTTATTGTGATTGATTTGTGTCAGCTTTAACTATACTCACTAGGAAGTCAATAAATAAAGATCAATGGGGTTTTATTTCTCCTGGTTCTTTATTAGAAAGAATGGATTGGTTAAATAACACAAGTAATAGTGATGACATGGTTTCCCTCAGCATTTTCTACTCTGAAACAGGTGAAATATTTTTCAAAATTTCATTAAACAACCATACTTGTGTTTTCTTGTTATTACCTATTTCTCTACAGTTGGTGCTTTAAACTCCTCAAACTTATAGAAACACAAACACAGATGTTCTCCCTGCATAGAACTTCCCACTGCTTTGCTCTGAGGAGGAGCTCTTGCTACCAGGATGAATCTCTAGTACCACGTCCATTTATCTCCTTATTTCCCAAATGTGGTATCTGTTGATCTCATTGAATGGGACTTGTGCCTCTGGACAGCAGGGATGTACCCCCCGCAAAAAAAGGGAACGCTTCTGAACTCCTGATCATCTCCTGCTGGCTGGATTTTGAGCTGCAAAATGCAGCTGAGTCCTTTCTTTGGAACAGAGAAAACTGACCCTATGAGCTGTGAAATGACAGTCTTGGTTTGATTTTGCACCTGCTCGTGGTCTCTTGAGTGACCACAGAGATCTGTGATAGCAGTATGCCTTAGCAGATTTGTGTTGGAAGAGCTTCTCCAACAGGAAAAATTACCCAAGGAATACCAAAAGTGAAATCTGGAGCCACCCAGAAGCTGAGTACATTAAGGGACAATTTAGGATCACAGCCCCTGAGCTAACACAGCCTGTTGAGCTCCCATTGACAGCATTGTGAGATCTCTGCTTTAGCAGAAAAGCACAGTGAAGCTCAGATCCATCAGGCAGTTCTGAGAGGGAAATTCTATCCCCACAGAGCATGAACAGTAACATACTAATGCAAAATTCACTAGGAAGTAGGTCGAAGTGTCAGAGCAGTTATTATCAGTAACCTGTTTCTCATAAAAACATAGTGAAGGGAAAACCATCTTGTTCCTAAGATTTATAGCAACTTGACTCCCCATGACAAGTGATGGAAAGCTTCCCTGCCATGCATATTACACTTTGGGTGGTGACCCCTCAGAATATATCTCCATTTAAGTCCTTCAGTACTGTGCTGGATGGAAACCAAGTGGCCAGATGCTCTAAGCTGCTTTTTTCATTAAAATCTTTCATCTGGACATTTAGCTCAAAGTGCGTTCACAAGATTACTGGAGTGCCCTGTCCTTGAACAGAAATCCAAGCTTTGGAAAGGATCAAAAATCAAGTCTCTGCTAAGAACAGCAAGTACATTCCCAAGCCACAGCATTATGTGTCCTGAGGAGCAGAAGTGGGTCTCTTTGCCTCACTGCATCCATTCAGAACTCTAAGTTCTGACATCTAAACTAAGCAGCTTTTAGAAATAACTTGTATCTGTTTGCCAATGGGTTTATGATCCATGTTTATACAGGCTATAAATCCTTTTCAGGAATTATATAGAGGTGCCCTGCTTTGCTTTTCTGAGCTGTTTGTTTTTGCTGTTACTTTACTTATTATTTTTTGTGTCCAGAATGCTCCTGGACTGCCCATCTCCCCGGCGTAGGTCCTGTTCAGCCACCTCAGGTATGTGTTGAGTGGGAGTTGGACTCAGTGATCCTTGTGGGTCCCTTCCACCTCATCATATTCTGTGATCCCGTGATTCTGTAAAACAGAGGTTGAGTGGCACAGTCCGCTTTGAGAACACACATCTCTTGATAACATTACAGGCCAGAGATAGTCTGTGCTGCTCAGAGCAGGCTCCAGCCTTGGAACGTTTGTGTTTGGGGCACAAACAACAGCCTTTCCTGATGGTAATTGCCGCTCAGAGGCCCTGCTGTCAGCGTCCATGCTGACATTTTTTGTCTGAGGCAACCTTGGGGTGTGGAGCAGGGGAACAGCCACCATTTTGTGGCACGGCCGCCATTTTGTGTCTGGGGAAACCAAGGGGAGTGGAGCGGGGGAACAGCCACCATTTTGTGGCATGGCCGCCATTTTGTGGAACGGCCGCCATTTTATGTCTGGGGAAACCAAGGGAAATGGAATGGGGGAATGGCTGCCAGTTTTGTTTGTCTGGGGGAACCAAGGGACGTGGAGTGGGGGAATGGCCACCATTTTATGTCAGGGGAAACCAAGGGGAATTGAGTGCGGGAATGGCAGCCATTTTTTGTTTGTCTGGGGAAACCACGGGGTGTGGAGCTGGTGAAGCGGCTGCCATTTTGTGTTGGGGAAACCACAGGGTGTGGAGTGGGGGATCAGCCGCCATTTTGTATTGGGGAAAACCAAGGGGAGTGCAGCTGGGGAACGGCTGCCATTTTCTGTCTGGGAAAACTACAGAACTTGGAGTGGGGGAACAGCTGCCATTTTGTTTGTCTGGGGAAACCATGGGGTGTGGAGTGGGGGAACAGCCGCCATTTTGTGGAACGGCTGCCATTTTGTTTCTGCGGAAACCATAGAGCGAGGGACTTGGCAGAGACTTGAGGGGCTTTTGAGGGGGATGGAGGGAGTTAAAAGGTATTTTGGGGGGAGACTGTGGGATGTAAAGGGGAGTTTGAGGGCATGAGCTCCCCCAAATTCATGAACCCCCTTAAATTCAGGGGGCACCCCACAGTTAGGGAGGACCCAAAAAAACTCTAGGTTGGGAGAAATAAAGGGGGTGTTAGGAGAGTTTGGGGAGGGGCCCTAGGGTGGGACAAACCCCCTCTGCCGCCCAGTCCCTGCTGAGTGGGCAGAATTTGGGGTTCCCCCCCAAACTCACAAATTTTGGGTGTTTTATTAAAAAAAAATAACCACAAAACAGCAGCTTCTCCCTGTGCAGTCAGGTTTGGTGGATCCCTTTCCTCCTGTCTCCAGCTCCCAGAGCTGTCCATATTTCCTCCTCACATGCCATCCATCACTCTGGTCCCAGTGCACCTCCTTCATGGTTTCTGATGCAAAGGTAACCCCAGCCTAAATTAGGTCTGTGATTTTCCTCTGCTCCCTTATTGTGCATAATCTTCTCCTTCTTCTTTTTGCCCACTGGGAGGTTTCTCCTGGGTGTGCAGCATCTAAAATCTCCGTTCTGTGCAGGTGGAACTGCTGGACTTGATGTTGGCACACCGGAGACTCTTGATCTGAGCTTCTCTCAGTTTGAAAAGCTGCTCTCCTGTGCCCGCCTGGCACACAGGGAGCCCCCTTCCAGAATATACCACCTCAGCCTCAGGTGTTGGCACAGCCTGAATCCTCATCTCCACTTCATGGACTCCTCGTTAATCTCTAAGGTTGGAAAAAAAGTTTCTGAAGTTTATTAAAAAACTCTCTGAATTAATTCTGCCTCTGTGTGGTCAGCCTGTGAGTCTGGAGCACACCTGAACCAAGGAGCAAATTAAGGTAATTCTTAATCGAGGCATAAAAATATAATACTCAAATCTTAGAGCAACAAAATTACTGCTTTTAAAACCTTAATCTATTTTACTTCTATTATTGAAGCAAAACTGTAAAGACACAATATAGATTAATTCTATGATTTTTTACAGCCACAATTTTATTATAAGTTTTTATATTTTAATAGATAAGGAAGTTATTTAAATTCTGTGGGCCTTGTAGCCTTCATTCAGGGAAGTCTCCTTTTACCAGTCTCTCTGTTGAGTAAAATCTACAGCCCTGAGCTTTTGTTGGGACAAATACACATTTCTCATTTTTACTTCTGCTCTGATGTATTTTAGTAGAAAAAGTTGAGCCACACAGGCAGGTGATTTGAGAATGAAGATTACAGCAATGCTTTGGGTAATATGTTGTACTAATTTCAATTTGGACAGTCTTCCCTTGGAAAGGTTTGGGAGTGGAATAGTTCTGGGCAATTCTCTAGCCTGCAATATATACATTTTGCCCTTTTTTCAGTATGTGAGGTTCTTCCATTCCTGTTGTTCTTTGGTCTAATTGAGGCCAACAAACTGGTCATCAGTCACACTTGGTTACCCACCTATGAAATCTGATGAGATACTTGGGAACCACACATGGCCTGCTTGGTAGTTTATGATCAATTAGTTTGGTTTTTAAATACTTTTTACCTGATGCTTGGAAAAGGTGGAATAAAGCAAAAAAAAATATAATTTGCAGGATTCCTAAGGGGAGGGGGAACAATTTCCTCCCCCCCAAGTTAAGTACATGAATAAAAATTAGTAATTCAGTGAATCACTGAATCACTGGAATCTTGGAGTTCACTTTCTCCCAACCCGTCTTCACATTCCCTTTATTTCCCTACCCAGAGCCTCACAAGTCCATTTCCAATCTCCTTTTCTCATTTGCTCAGCCAGTTAAACTTTTAAGAAAACTGAGGTGCACATTCAAATACATTAACATGTTCTTCAAGCAGTTTTAAGTTTTATTTCCTTTTGTTATTCATGGTTTCAGGCAGAGGCTTTGGCCAAAGTCCTGATTTCTTGTCCTCAAAAAAGACCACTTTTCCTATTTCTTTATAGTTTGGAACCTATCATTTATTTTCATGATCTATCACAAAGACCAGCCAGCAGTATGAGTTTTAAAGCTGTGGCAAATACTTACTAAGTTTAATACTGTTATAATTTAATGAACTATTTTGATTATAATATGTTGGAAAAAAGTCTCCAAAGTTTCCTGAATGCTTTTTACTCTCTGTATTTTCAGTGTGTTCATTGCTGCACAGGTACAGGACTCTAAGTTCTGAATTGCAAGTGTTTTGTAATGTGCTGTTGATAACAATGGAAACAATTTTCCATTCGACTCTTGCTTGTTATTATATTTTTGTTACACTTACAGATTGGCAAGTGAAGGGGTTTCTTTGTATCCTTTCCCCCTAAATTTTACCTATTTTCTTCTGAAGATTATTTTAATATTTCTCTTTTTATTTGCTATTTTAAAAAACGGATAGTAGGGGGTTTTTTCCAAAGCAGGAGAGAATTACTGGGTTTATATCTTTCCCAGAGTCAATGAAAAATTTCCTGTAAGAAAAAAATGAGTTGTCTTGGGGAAAAAAAATCTTGCTAAGCAAAATCCTGCACCTCTCTTTCCTCTCCTAGGTATGCTGTATTAAACTGCACATGGAATGCCTTTTTTACTAATTTCTGTTATTTTTCATCCTATAGAGAGACTTATATCTTCCAGAATTCACCCCGAGTTTGTAGGAATGCTGAGTTGTCATGCAGGAGTTTTACCTCACACTGGGGAGATATTAGTTGATAACATCCACCTTGTTTAGATTTATTGCTTTAGCATATTTCATGCTAAAAATATTATTTTTTTTTTTTACCATCTGCTAAGATTAGCACTGGAGTGGTAATAAATTCACTTACCCTGTTACTGTGGTGTAGTTTGGAACCATCTTACACCGCGCTCGGCCTAATTGAAAATAGGATAAGATAAATGATGCACTTTGAATTTCTCCCTCAGATGTACCATTGTTCATTACTTCAACGAGGGATGAGCACATCTGATTGTAATTTCAATTGTTAAGTAAAACAAAAGTTTCCATGGTGAAAGTATGGTACCAACAGCTGTAATTGTCTAAGGGTTACTCGTGAAAATCTCAATATTGTTTTAGTAATAAATGCGGGATTGTTTTGCATTTACACACTTGTTTATCCTCAAACCCTAATGGGAAAGGGGTGAAGTCAAAAAACATGCTCAGGAATTCAGGCACCGCGTGGAAGACGATAGCTGGGCTTAAAATGTCTGTGCTTAAAGAAACATCTGCATATTAAAATAGAGGATTTTTCAGTCGTGATTCCTGCTGCAAAAAAAAATCCACCCAACTAAACAGCACAGTTTGTGCCACCACTTTATTGATCGTGATTGGATCGGACAGTGTTTATAAAATAATAATACAGTTTGGTTTGGCTTCTGGGCTCTCACAGGATATACCCAGCACTGCTTCAAACAGCAGCATCTTAGTAAAAGTGGGGCTTTTCCCTATTCTTTTCTATTAATGTAAAACATAAACAGTAAAGTACTAAAGAAAAATACACCAGTGGAAGGTGCTGACTTACTGATACAAGGCAAGTGGCGTGGGAAGAAACAAGAGTAGGTACAAGCCATTCCATCTGCCTCCTATTTCTGCCAGTTTAATTTGTGGTCTCATAATTTCTTTTTTTTAAAGTTTATAAATATTTCTTTTTTGTGTTCCGTGGTCAGATGGTCATACCTTCCTTTACAGCATTGGAAATATAGTCTATAAATTACATTCTTTGCTTCAAAGTTTACTGCGAGTTTAAGATGAATAAGTATATTAGTAGATAAAATATTTACAAAAGGAGATACTGATGATGCAAGGGAAATGAGTGCAAACACAGGAGAAATTATGTAGTTCTGGGTCTTTTTTTTTAGATAGAAGTGTGATTTTTGTGTTGATAATGTCTGGTTTTAACATTATGGCAATGTAAGGCCATATCCTATTTAATTCATTCACGAAATTAATTCAATTAACTTGCTTGAATAAATAAGGTCAGCAAACCTCTATCCATAAGTAATCCACAAATCTGACTTTTTCTTTTACAGTTTTAGAATAACTTCAGGGCTGTGTAGAAGTGGACAAGGGGGAATGGTTTCAAACTGAGAGTAGGCTTAGGTTGAATATTGGGAAGAAATTCCTCCCTGTGAGGGTGGGGAGGCCCTGGCACAGGTTGCCCAGAGAAGCTGTGGCTGCCCCATCCCTGGAAGTGTCCAAGGCCAGGTTGGATGGGGCTTGGAGCAACCTGGGCTGGTGGAAGGTGTCCCTGCCCATGGCAGGGAGTGGGACTGGGTGGGCTTTAGGGTCACATCCAGCCCAAACCATTCTGGGATTCTGTGATTTTATGATTTTACTCGCAAAGCCTTTTTCATCCTTTGAGTAAAGTCGTACTCAAAGACCACAACAAATACTCAGCTCTGGTATTTTCATCTCCTATTTCATAACAAATCCTTTGACTGATGCCCAAGCTCTGACTGTGTTTATCTCAGGGAAAGCCCCCCCTTGGCTTCAGCGGGCATTTTGCCCATCTCCAGCCTCCCAGCCCTGGCTGGTGTTTTCCCAGCCGAGTTGTAAAGCCCTGGAAGCAGGGGTTGGTGATGGAAGCACCGGCAGCACCTTGAGGGGAGGGATCCGAGTGGCTGTGCTCTCACACCACCACCATTCCCAGTGTCTGTTACCGAAATTGGTGTTGTATCTAAAACAATTGCTGTTATTAACAGGTTAAGCTGCTGGGATGTTAAAATAAAGGCTGCCCAGCTTTAGTGCATTTTGTTGTAATCATCTCCCAGATGCCTTGTCGGAAATCAATTCAAGTTCAAAACTGGCTGGAATTGGGAGGTCAAGGCTTCTGCAGACTAAATATTTTATCTTCTGCTCATGTCTGGAGCTTTTAAAGCTGTGTATTGGGGGCTCTTTTCTCGTATCCCATCTGGACAAAGATGATTGGCTTTGCCATTTTGCCCAGGTTAGGACAAGGTTAAAATCAATTATAATCAATTATTAAGAGTCTTCTGTGACTGCAAAGCTTAAAAGGGGATTTTAAAAGTTGCTCAGTTTTGAAACCAGAATATCTTAGCTGCTAGTGTAGATGTCATTATTCTGGGATATCAGATGTAAATCCTATCTGCACCAGTAATAAATACACAGAATTCCCTCATCTTCTTCTTGTCCTGTGTGTTTTAGAAGAAATACCTAAAAATGGAGCCAGAGCTGCAGGGAGGACAGTTTCATTGTGTTACAAAATCTAGCTGTCATCTCCAGGTATCTAAATGAGAGGGAGCTGTTTATAATTTGGTGAACCAGGTGTTTTTGTTCTCTCCAGAAATGTATTCAGCTTCCTCTGGTCTTCAGAACTCAAATGCTAATTTTCTAGTATGTTTGGGGAACTCCATGCTTTTATCTTAAAATACAATAGTGTTTATGTATTATAATCCACTCTGCCTGATGTGCTTGAATATACAAGATCATTGCCTCTCCCTGGGAATGAATCAGTGGTTTTGTTTGGAATAACTTTTGATGTTTGGTGCCATTCTTCCCATGCAAATCACATTCCACATTCTTCTCCCAGCTTCTGAGTGAATGAGTGAGCACGTCTCTTTCTCCCTCAGCACCATTGTTTCGTTGCTTTTGAACGTAATATTTATACTTTCAATTTACATTTAAGAAAATTAGGAATAAAGAATCAGAGCCTGAATTTTGGAGGAAGACAAGTCGAGGAGGGAGGAAGGATGTGCTGCTGAATATTAAAACTTGCACACAAGAAATGTGTGTTTACCTGTTTAATTCTGAATTAATTAATTATTCTTAAGGAGGCTGTCAGAGTGATGCTACTCAGCTCAGTGGCCTCAGTTGCCTGTTTTTAATTTTAGGGTAATTTTGCTGCTTTTTTTTTTTAGGGAGTGAAGTT